GAAATGCAGAAAATACTTAAGAGAACGAGAGTAATAATGAGGAGAGTTCATCGGATATAGAGGAAGAAGGGGAGGAGGAACAACAAGAGGAAGTGGCTTCTGAGAATGACAGTGAAGCTGAAGACACCCAAGAGAGCGACAACGACACCGAAAAAGACAGTCAGAAAAGAGAAAGTAGTAATCCTGAAACGTCCACCACCTTTCACTCTAAAAGTCCCTGTAAATATTGTGAGAACTTTAATGTGTACGGGACATTGATCATGAAATGTCCTTAATGCTCTTAGCATGACTACAAGATTTGCCCTATATGCAATGACCAGATCCCCAAGGAGACTGAGAAATTACATCAAAGAGGGCTTTCTTCGGTGTCACGGTTGTGGAGCAGTTACGAAGACGAAGACGTGAAGACGTTGGAAACCAATTTCTATTCCCCTTCTAAAGAGGAGAACAAAGAAGAGGATTAATTGGTTTTCATTCCTTTCAAATCGCTGCGTATTTGACTCTTTTTGTCATTGGTTTTTAATAGTTTTTAAAACGGTATCTCGTGTGTGGTTTTGTTGATATATCCGATTTTTTAGCGCTCGACAGAAAACATGTCATTTCTCGTGTTGCTAGGTGTCGCTCCTCTTATTCCTATTTTTTAGATAGACGTTCCGGCAAACCACACTAAAGTTACTTACCGGGCAAGTTTAGGCAAGCCTATTGTGCCTATTGTGTTCTTCCAAATGTATAGACACAACTATCCACTGAATTATATATGGAGGAAGGCATAAGTATGGAGGAACGCATTTTTTCTCTAGGTTAAAACAATGGGTGACGTCATGGACTCGACCCTTAGCATATCAATAATTTACCTCGACCTTACTCGACACAAAACAGAAGTAAAAACACCGTAGTACATTACTTTCTAACACACTTGCCATAGTAAGAAGCCTTTTTAACGGACGATGTGAAGAATATGAAGGGGACCCGAAATGAAATCAACCAAGTAAAGGGCCATAACAAAAGAAAATCAAAATCCAATTGTTGCTCTTTAGCTTTGTAATGGTGATGATGTAACGCTTATCTCAGTGACACTTAGGATTGTTTTCTTTTCTACAGTTGCCTAAACGCCGTGCAAACGTCCACCGATTATAAACCTTCGTTTTGCGATTAACTGAAAAATGCCAATTCCTCTTCTTTGACCTGTCTCGTCACCTAAAATTAAACTTGAAGTTTCGTTCTTCCATCAAGCAAGGTTTGTGGGTCCAGCTGGGGCCCGTTTCTCGAAAGTCCCGCTTACGTTTCGGACCCGAAATCAAATTTTCAAGTCGAAATATAAAGAATAAGAGAGTGGGTCCCGGCTAACAAACTGCTCCATTTTGTTTCATTAACTGATAGTTTTATCAGGTTAGATGAAAAACTATTGAAACCTCTATCTTCCATGAAAACAACAACAGCTTTACCGGCCGTTAATTACCGGGACTTTCGAGAAACGGGCCCCTGCCCGCAATCTGATGTGTGAGAGAAGCATAATTATTCCTGCTCATAAATTCGTCGATGCAATCGACCAAAGGAAATACCATAAAATTTCCCTTCATCTCCTATTTTAATCGAATTTTTGAAAACGTTATAAACAACTGAAATCGTGCGTGAAGTAAAAGAAACTCTCCCATAAGGCACACTGTACGCTTTCGAGAGAGATTAATTGATTATTCAACCCCGCGGCCTTCAATTCTAGACATCTCCAACTCAATGGCAACGAATATCCCTGGATAAGAAAACGTTCCCTTGAGACATCTTTCTGGATTTTAAAAAGGCTGTTGATACCGATTGGCATTCTGTTTTGCTTCTTGGTAAACTAACCAATATGGAATCACAGGCTTTGTGAATAATGGAACGGTTTTCGTAGTATCTCGCAAGCCGTATGCAGACAACACAACTTGACATGCAATTATTTCATCCAATAGAGACTCTGTGACTGGAGTCCCACAGGGCTGCGTTTCAGGCCTCTATATTTCCTGGCCGCGCGTGGACGGAGCCCCATAGCTAAGGAAATGTGGTAATCTACCCATCCGAGAAAATTTGGTAATCACGTGACCATACACCGAGCGAGCGAGCGACGGTCCGTCCACACGACAGGCATACCAATGTTAAATAACTGAATCAACAGGTGTGGCAACCCAAATGCAACTCAAGGTTTTATTTGGAAGGAAATCACATGGCCGCTCGGACTTTTAGAAAGAAAAAACAACAAAGTCGTGTCTTTTTCGGTGTTATTTTTTATGTTTACACTAACGTGGATAACAGAGAAAGAGCTAGAGAGAGTTATTGAAAACAAAGGAGATGAACATGTAAATTCAAAGCGGCGGTGAGAAAATGAGAAATGCTAGAGGCCAGCAAGGAGCGACCAGCAAGGTGAAAATGAGCGGCAGTGAAAAATAAAAGCGAACATGAACACAGGAAACAAAATATTGGGTAAACACATATGACAATTCCTCCATAAAAATAATGTGTAACTAGGAAGTTTGACGTTTTAGTCGTACAAAACAGCGTTGTAGTCGTGCAAAACAGCGGCAAGGGATAGACAAAAAAGCCTGCTGCACGTGCAAATTTGTTTTTTGCTAATTAGAAGAAAAAGTGTGCTGCACGTGCAATTTGATTTTTTGCTAATTAGATCTATTAGTCTTGAAGCCGTTTTCATTGTCGTCTCCGTTTAGCATTACACTATTTAATTTTTTTGTTTATAAGTATCGTTAACCATAGCTTCGCTTTTAGCCCTGGCTAAATCTGTATATTATTAATGACATTCATATTTGTTGTTGCCTGCGTGCAGACGTCTCCCATTTCCTTTGTAGTACGCGTACGATAAAGGTAATAAGAGACGTCCGCACGAAGGCAAATTTGTTGCGATAAGCTCGCGCTTTATTTGTTCGCTGATGATGCAAACCTTCGTATACTGAAGAGATTCTGAAGTCCCTAGAAACCGTAGTTAGCAACTAACAATTACAGAGTTTTTGTGATTGTTTAAACGCAAATTTATTATAAACATAAACGCAAAAAAAGACTATTTTTATTATCTTCAAACCGTTAGAATAGACCAAGCCAAGAGGTATTGGACAATAACAGTAATGGATCTGTGTTTCTTGCATGAACGAAATCTAATTTTCATCTTAACGCCTTTATTATAGAGGTTTACTAAATAACTATTAGCCACGTTTAAGGTGCAGGACAAGGCCAATAACAGGAATGGATTTACTTTTCTTAGAAGTAAGGATAATATTCGATTCTTCTAGGAGTGTTAATTATTAAGAACAATACATTAACCAATAATTCAAAGATTAGTAAAATTGTTGGCATTCCGTAAAATTCCGAAAATAAGCCCATCCATGTATAAGCCCCTCCAAATATAAGCCCCCCAGACTCGTAACGCAAAAAACCCTCCGTTAAATCGCCCCTCCGAAAATAAGCCCCCCCTGGGGGCTTGTACTTGGAAATTGCCCTCAAATACAAAGTAAAACAGAGCAAAAACGGTCAATTTCCTTACAGCTATCAGGCTAGCCCAAACAATTTTGAAACACAAATTTCCCTCCATAGATAAGCCTCTCCGAATATAAGCCCCTCCAAAAATAAGCCCCTCAAAAAGGGCTTTTGAAAAATATAAGCCCCAGGGCTCATTTTCAGAATTTTACGGTAATTGCGCACAAGACTGAAATATCATATTGGATGAATCAAATACTCTTTTCGTCCATTGTAAGGGAATCCAGATTCCGGATTCGGCGAAATTTCTGCTTTTGCCATCCACAATCCAGAAAAATGTTGCCCGTACAATCCGGAATCCTATGTTTTAGAATCCAGATTAGAGTTCAAGGAATCAGGAATCCCACTTTCTAATGATTGTGATCCGGAATCAAAGTTCCACTGACAAAGACTAGAATCCAGGATCTGGAATCCCTTATATGAGGCGAAACTTTTCGTTCGATGTTATTTCCCTACCGTTTTCAATGCTTAACTCGACTTAGAATCAAACCGCTCAGTGTGATTTACTGAAACGTGCTCTTTGCTTAATTTTCTTTTCTATCAATCGACCTCAAGGTATCCTCTTTTACTTCGCTTCCAATATTTTACCTGTCGATCATTACACATTTTGAAACGATTTCTACCATGAGGGGCACCCAATGACTGTTTTTTGTAAAATATCTGTTGGGAGAAGCAAAGATGGCCTAGAATTATTGCTTGACGACGATGTAAAATTTGTAGATAACCGTTCCATTTACGTACAATTTTCGAAGCTTATCTAATTAATATCCTACCATTTTCTGAAGTTTATTTTTTCACATTTCACTCTCCAGGTTAGGCGACTAGTTTTCGTAGAAAAAGGAAACCTACAATTTTCGGATTCAAAAATGAGAACTAGAGAGGAATCCGAGAAATCTTCGCTCTTGTAAAACGTTAAATTGCATCTAAAACTTTCGAGAAAATAATACTGAAGCCTCGAAAACTCGAAAAAAACTTAAGTTCCCCTAGGATAGCCAAACAGATACAAATTTTATAGTGCCGCTTAGAATGCATTTCGAGAGATCTAAAAGTACTCTGGATAGCCCAGAAAGTGTTTTCAATGTATTTAGTAGGAAACGGTCGTTGGGTGCCCTTGTACCATGATTTCTACCTATTCTGTACCGCGTGTGGAATATATTGAGACTGATTACTACATTGTGTTACCAGCTTTGGAGCAAAATTATGGCGGAGCTTTTGCTGTACGTGGGTACGTTTCACCAGTACATCATTGAATTTATAAATACAACGAAAGAAAACAAAATGAAGGAAGTGCTGTTGTCTATTTGTACTACAGCCTTGTTTGCAGTTCCAGTTGTAGACGCAGTAGCTGTAGACGGATCTGGAAAAGTAACATACAAAGGTCAGTTGAAAGTTAATCTATGCACTTTAAGAGAACGTAAGCTTTAGGTTGAAAAAATTCTCATTTTGTAAATCACAAGAAATGAAATAGATTTCAACCGCAACTGTGATTTTAGGTCGGTACCACCCTTTTTTATTAAGAACATAGCTATTACAACTTAACTTAATTAAGCTGGCAGAGTTTTGCGTCATCTTCTGATCACTTTAACTGCCACTCGATGTACAAAATAAAATACAGCTGCTACCAAGAATATTTCATTCATGGCTGGTTTGTTCATTGGATTTTGGTTAAGAAATGCGCCGCTTGTGGGAAATCCGATTTCGGAGAACATCGTTTTCAAAAATGAGCTTAATCACTTCACCTTGCTTGAAAAGTCTCAAGCGATTCTAGCCTTATTTGATGGCTTTCAGGACCTGCATCTCGACTGGTAAGCCTGAGTAATTATTGCATTTGATGCTTATTTTACGAAGTCGAGCGTAGTTTATGCGGCTAGTTTATGCCCGTTTATGCACGTTTGTAAGCTTTAATCAGGTTTGCTATAAGCTTACAGAACTTTAAAAAGCCTTTAGACATTTTCTGACCGCAAATACACAGAAAACGTTCCGAAGAATATTTAGTTTTAATTTTGGCTGTAAAAAGATAGCTTTGAGCGATTTTCTTGCCTCGCGTTCATCTTTAAAAATAGCAAATATCGGGAAGCCGTGTTAAAACATAAGCTTCAATCTGCAAGGTTTTAAGCTTAATATATGCTAAAAATTCAGGATTTTCAGAGACATTTTACTCTCAGTACTTGTCTTCGTGAATGAAAATTGTTGTCTCTGTAAATGTTTCACCGAATTATATTTCTTTTATTGATTGTTTAGTAGTCTCTTTCGCAATTTTAATCGCTGTGTCGTTTGTTTTTAGTCGTACATGACATCGCATGCAGGAGTACTCAAAATGCGGCGCCTAAAAAAAACACAACGAAAATTAATATAATAAATTCTTCATAATTTTGAAGCGTAACTCTATTAATGCTCATTCAAACCCCCGCAAACAGCTCGCACTGCAAATTTGGTGCTTAACAAAAGTGAGAACCGGCTGGCCGTAGAGTTGATTTTGGATTTTTCTTAACGTTTTCGCTAAAAGCGCATTATTACCCTGCATACCACATAGGAGCAGATTGTTGTGTTATGGAATTCTCTGCATGCAAACATTTTATGATGTAGGCAACTTGTAGTATAATTTGAAAGCGCGTGCTCCGATCGTCCTGAATATTGAATGAGTGCAATTGGACTGGGACAACCTATGATAAAAAGCCGCCAATAAAACTTCTGTAGGCAAAATCGAGAAAAGGTTGGTAAATACTTTTTTTCTAGGTGACAATTATGTGTTGAACACGAAAAATTTGTTTACCAAGCTTTTAACTACAATGACCTCCAAACGAGGCTAAAATTTTCCCCTCATTCCAAACCCACATTTGACTCGAATTATTCCCCCAAATTAGCTAACTACAAGTTTATTTACAATGAAATAAACTAATAGATGGTTAATAAAAGTTATTCCGAAACTTTTAAATCGAGAAACGCTAGTGAAGGAAGTTGATGAGCGTGTTCGTCGCATAACAAGCAATGTGAAGAAAAAAATGGTCTTTTGAATAAGACCAAATTTGCTTGAAGATCAACAACCCCAAAAAGGTATTTTTTTAATAAGGAATATTTTTGAAATAGCACAAATAGTCTTCTTCAAGTTTAGTGACGTCTGGTGCCAGCATCATAACAAAATGGAACTTCCCACAGATGTAAATCTCCATTTTCTCTTAAACGAGTATGAAGAACTATCATTTCCCCTTTTTCTAAAATAAGCAATAGCTTTCTTTCTCTAGAAAAAATAAAAACTAATTTTCAGTGCAGAAATGCAAAAAAAGAACCAGTCGTCTGAAACTTGTTAAAAGCATGCACTCGTAAAAAAAACGTACAATATTGTTGGTATTTAAAAGAATTATTGTGTATATACGAGTTGCCGTTGCACCTAAACGAGTATGGGGACCCTCCAATTTTATTTCAAACTTAAAGTTCACTAAGTTTCACAAAATTCCCACTGCAGTTTCTATTTCAGAAGAATGACCTTGTGATCCTGGCGGGACTCGATTGCGACGCAAGTTCGTAAGGGGATGAATCGACTTTCGCAAGTCAAAACTTGTTGCACCCCGACTTCTTAGCCTGCGAATACGGCAGCCCCTCATCGTACTCCGTCGCTGGGACGTTGCGCGAAACGTGTAGAGGGATGAGAGACAGCTGTATTAGCAGGCTACATCATCGTTAACTTTCTGTTAAAGATAGTGAACTGTTTCCTCGTGACGCTTGCTTTTTTTGAGTTCACTGCAGCCGTGAGTCAGCCATACGAACAACTTTTAGGACCTCCTCCCCTCCCCCGGGTAGCGAGGCCTTCATACAAATTCAGAAAGAAGGTCTACTTTGAAACTTTTTGATCAGCAAGCTAAAATAGGATTGGGTACACTGTTTTTCTGATTTTATGCTTAATAAAACTTACACGAATTCATGAAAATTCTAAAATTTTATATAGAGGAAAGAATAATTATAAAATCAGTGCAGCGCTTGTGACGTGAACATTGCGTGACTAAGATACATTACCTTGTAGACAAGTAGTAAGAGTATCTAACAGAGTACCATTTTCATGCACGCTAAGGAAAAATATGTTTCTGCCCATCATAAGCAGCTTCAGTAATTTGGCAAGTTGTCAGTGGTAAAGGAAACTTTGTAGATATGCACTGAAGATGAGGGAATATTAAGAGAAAAATTGATAACATTTTTATGGAAAGGTGATATTTTGCTATCGATCATGTAAACAGATTTTTAACTGTTAGTCTGCTTTCTGAAATATTTACCCAACAAAACTCCAATTTTCAAGGAGAAAATTGTCCCACAAAATGCAATTTTTTGGTTCAAACTCAACCCCCCCCCGTCGCCCCCCTGATGCCCAGTGCAGGTTTTTGTTAGAAGTCAAACAAATGCCACAGTGAGTAGTTTCATCTGAAGTACTAACTACACACAAAGTCTGGGGGAAGGTTTTGTTTGACCATTTCCAATTTTGCTCAATCCTTAGCAACATTCGTTCTTAAAGGTTATTTCTATTGGCGTAGAAAACAAAAAAGTTTTGAAAAGACGGCGACACGATGTTCTAGTTTTAAAATTTTGGCTAAGCGCGCTCGAATTTGAAAAACTGAAATTTATATTTTTTGTTGCCTTTATATTTTCCTCGGCAATTTTCCCTGATTTTAAGGGGTTCTAAAAGTGAACCCTTTGAGGAGTTTCAAAGTGAACACTTCAACGGGTCTTAAAGTGTTCACTTTAAGAGTAACACTTTAAGGAGTCTTAAACTGAACACTTGAAGGGGTTCTAAAAGTGAACACTTTAAAGTAAACACTTTAAGGAGTCTTAAAGTGAACACTTTAAAGTAAACACTTTAAGGAGTCTTAAAGTGAACACTTTAAGGGGTCCTAAAGTGAACACTTTAAGGAGTCTTAAAGTGAACACTTTAAGGAGTCTTAAAGTGGACACTTTAAGGAGTTTAAAGTAAACACTTCAAAGGGTTCTCAAAATTGAACACTTTAAGGAGTCCTAAAGTGAACACTTTAAGGAGTCTTAAAGTGGACACTTTAAGGAGTTTAAAGTAAACACTTCAAAGGGTTCTCAAAGTGAACACTTTAAGGAGTCCTAAAGTGAACACTTGGAGTCTTAAAGTGAAACACTTTAAGGGGTCTTAAATTGAAGACTTTAAGGAGTCTTAAGGTCAACACTTTAAGGATTAAGTTATATAGGGCAATTTATATAATGTTGATTGTAAGATTTACATAAGGGACTTTGTACAGCATCTTAGAATGATCGGAAAAAAAATTACTGAGAACAGTACTAACGTTGAGCAGTTGGTCCAACACTGAAATCATCTACACTCAACGGGCCAAGCTTCCCATCTTCAGTTATCTTATCGGTCAATTCCCGTATCTCACTTTCACTAACGTCGTTTTTGAATTGCACCTCCAAATCTGCAATCACGCTTCCTTGACTGTCAGGAAAAACCAGAAAGCCAAAAGGGTGAATAAGCGTGAAAGATAAAACAACTGAAAAAAGGGGAGGACAGGAGAAAATCGAGAGCGACGACGACAATGATGATGATGTTGGGGATGCTGAAGGTTTTGTTGACAATGCATTAAAACAGAATGGTATCAAACAAGTCGAATTTGAGGGATAATTGGACACCTCAGTCATAAATACAACTACGTTGACACGGTACCGGCCGAATTTTCGACCCGATGAATATTCTAACCGGACACTACGCTTACACAGCACCGTTCAAACGTTCACACGGAACTTTGAGCGGCTAGGCGTCTTCATAAACGAACACTCAAACGCACGAATTTCCAACCTGTCGAAAATTAATTCGGTCCCGTGTGAACGTTGCCTACATCCCTCAGAAAAGGTACGGGAGCCTACATCCCTATGAAAAAGTACAGGGGCCTACATCCCTAGGAAATGTAAAGGGGCCTACATCCCCAAAAAGGGTACAGGAGCCAAATCTCTAGGAAATGTAAAGGGGCCTACACCCCCAGGAAAAGATACAGGGGCCTACGTCCCTAGGAAAAGGTACACAGGGGCCTACTTCCCTAGGAAATGAAGAGGCAGTTGGATTTTTCTCCTGTCCAAGCACTCTTCCCATGCAAAAGTAAAACCTTAAGATTCCTACAACTTACCTTAATTTTGTTACTATTACCCTTTCCACTTCGAAACCTTGGCTATTATATTCGTCCTCAGCCTGTGAAAATAATAAGGGTCTTTCAAAAACAAATATCCTCTCAGTTTTTATGCAAGTGTCTGACTCCAACTCCGAGCTCAAAATAACTATCTGCAGTTTGATTAAAAATAAGCAGGCCAGAGTACCCTCCAAAAAATAAAAGCTGCGTTTCCCGACCTCTATCGAAAAACAATTAAGCCACAATAACGAAACGCGTCTTCATGATGAAATTATATGACAAGATAGCCACGAGTTAACACTGGACCAAATTTACTAGGATACTATTACAGATATTGTTTCTTAACAACTACGTGTGGTTATAAGAAAATGCGTGAGAAATATCTAAGCTAAGGATAGCTTCATAATTCCGCGGCCAAGCTGGCAAACAAAGTTAAAATCTAAGGATAGATGAAATTATCATACAGCTTAGTGATTTCTCGTTCTGTGTAGTGATTGGTAAGTTTTCGGTGCAAAACTTGCAATGCGGAGCAAGGTGTCAAAGATCTTTCCCTTGGCGTCTAGTGACTCCATCTTGACAAAAAAAGTTCTTAAAAAGTAGTTTCATTATAGCATGTTTGGGGTTTCCCTACCTCAACAAGAACAAATCGTGATCCTACACGATTTGAAAGGATTGTTTTTTATATGTACACGCCGTTTAACAGAAGATCTTGAACTGCAACAGTCTTGACAGAAAATGACAACCACGTAAAAATGAAATTTTATGGAATAAAGATATGGACGAAAATGAGACTTACAGCATTCACAATTTGGGTAGTAAACTCTTTGGTTTCTTTAGCATCAAGGTCGTCATATACAGGTTTATATTGCCGAGGAAATTTGAAGCGGACTTCTACGGTCTTCACAAGTTGTTCTGGGAAGTAACAAGGGGGAATATTCATAACAAAAATTAAATTAATAATGGTAATAATAATGATAATAATAGAGCAATGCATACGCAATCAATGCAACACAAAAAACGCGACTTCAAATCGAGCCCTAAAACTTGTTGACACATTAATACGCGAGTTTTATAACGTTGTAGATTAATTTTATCCTTGGTTCAAATTTTATTTTCTTTGTTTCAGCTCATTATCAAATAATACCATCCCCACGAGCAACGAAAAAAATAAAATTTAAACTAAGGATAAAATTGAACCACATACAAGAAAAAAAGTACGCAAAACCACCGTTTAAAAAGTGTATGCGATGGTAGAAAAGCTGTATTGATACTTCCTGCCTTGATAACATGGAGATAATAAGTAAAAAAAGTGAACGATCGGAGAAGGTACTCAGGTAATTACGATAATTGACTCATGATTAATGTGGCAGTACACGTACCAGTGTCTTCGCAATCTGGTCCTTTCTTCCCTCGATCACACAAACAGAAGTAAAATTCCCCGAGTTTTCGACATTTCCGTTGATTAGAGCATCCAACTGCACAACCACCTGTTCATATATTGGAAAATAAATAACAGTTCTTATGGATGCCAACTTGACTCCATAGAAGTCATTGACTTTCAAAAGGCTCCTGTTTAACACTAAACCACTACACTAAAACGGCAACAACTAAAAAATTATGGTTTTGTTTAAAACGTCAACCTGCTGTATATGTTTTATTGTAGATAGACGACAAGAAATCTGCAAATAATACAATTTGGACATGGGGGATTTCCCCTGTGGCTGTCGCGTAATTATTATCTGTTAATCCACGTAATATTTTTAAAATAGAGGCAATGTATTGAAGGTCGCGCATGAACGTAAAAGTTGTACCTTTTACAACAATGGATACGTCTCCAGTAATAGCACTTCCAACGCTGTTATTAGCAGTGCATCTGTAGGTTCCTTCATGCTGTAGTTCAATATTGGTCAAAGGAAAGACGACAGCACTGTTATCGGATACTCTTGTCCAGCTGATGACTGGAGGTGGATTACCATCTGCTGAGCAGTTCAGAGTCACACTGGAGCCTGCATTCAATGTCTGGTTGTTAGAAATGTGTGTTATGACTGGAGGGTCTACGTAAAAAAGACAATAATAAAATATTAGTTACAGTCAAGGTTAGTTTGCATTGGATTGCGAGAAGTCTTTCAAGTTAGTCGAGTCGAGAACTAGCAAAAGCCAACGTCTACGAATCGCAAAAGGAAATTCACACCTCCTCCTCGTCCTCCGTTTTAAACTTGGCAGGAAGTAAACGTATTATTAAAACCAGAGGTTGTAGGTACTCTTTATACCACCTGTTACTACGCCAGGTTCGGTGTACACGACCTTCAGGCACAACTACATCGCAAAAATTCCCAAAACTTTTTGCGTTTTTCAAGTAGCCACCTATGGCAGTGAAGCGTGGACGCTGGAAAGAACCGCTCTTACAAAAATGAACGCTTTCAATGAGAACCGCTCTTACAAAAATGAACGCTTTCAATTCGAAGTCAGGGGAAATAGCTAAGAAATACAAAGAAATACAAACAAAAAATACAGAAATACAAAGAAAAAGTCGATAAGAGCGGCTTCAAGTGGGACGTATTAAGAACAATGGCTGGAATATTTTGTAAGGACACCAACAGCGAAACATTTTGAATATTTTGGCCTCCTGAAATGACAAGACGGGCAAGGGGGCGACTAAATAAGAAAAAAGCATAAATGGGGGAAAATGGAAGAGGAAGGCAGAAGGCAGAAAGAAAAAAAAAACATACAGGAATTGTTTGGAAGGTGAGTTGAAATGCAACTTTCATATAATTTCACATGGACAATCAAGCCATCTGATCAGCCCAAGTTTTTTTTATATCACATACGAATTATACTCTGCCCTGTTCCATCTTTCTGTAGCCTGTGGACTGCAGACGTATTTCGGGTTGTCGCTTCTCTCCCTTCGAAAATTTCGAAAGGGAGAGAAGCGACCACCGGAAACACGTCTGCAGTTCGCAGGCTAATCTTTCTGCAAACATGAAAATTACAGATAGATATCGCTAAATTCAGCGACGCAAAAGATACTGGAAAGGGATTTATTAAAACGAAGTAAGCTTAATGCAGGTTTCACTGTACATATTCTTATGATTATTATTCCCTTCACTTACAAAGCACATGGACGAATGTAGTCACTGACTTATTGCCACACCTATTGCTTGCTTCACATCTGTACTCTCCACTTTGATTTCTGTAAATATCAATCAACCTCAAAACATTTCCTGGTGTGCGTTGACCACTGCCCTCGTCGATCCAAGCAACGGTGGGTGGAGGGATTCCAGACGCGCTACAGGTCAGATTCCGGCTTGAACCTTCAACCAAAGTCTCATTTTGTATTGATCGGATGGATGACGGTACTGCAATCAAACAAAAATTACACGGAGTCCCAGAATAAATGTTGAAAGAGTACTATTATATTCTTTTTACTGCCGTTTTCTTCTTAATTGGTTTTCTTTGCACGAGCTGCATGTGCCATATAACACCAGCTTCACGGCATAAGAACGCAGCATGGTTAACTTTGAAAGGAACGAAAGAGTCATAGATGACAGGACAACAGACGTGCCCTCTTTACAATATAAGCTCGGACGTCAGCATACAAAGGCGCCTCTGGCAGCCGCTCTCAGTCCATCTATGAGCTTACTGTACCCACCCAACCCATGATGCGAATGATGTGTGAAGGTTGGCCACACCACCGCCGTCTACGTGCCCTACTTTTTTCGAACAGTGGTGTGGGTTCTTTTACGTCCCACAAGAACCAGATAAGTGAAAGTGCTGTGAGACAGGACCTAAGGTTTTTCGCCCTTATCCGAGAAGACTAGAAAGAATAACCGTTCGCAGATGTCATTACAAAGGCAGCACTTTCTTCTCAGTTATTTCAAGACCCTGAGTCTTGGTCCGCCCGGAGCCGCTCAGCAGAGCGGCGCTTTCCCAACTGAGCTAACCAGGCTAAGGGTATATCTACAATACACCGGAAAGCCTTTCTTGTCGAAATAAAAAAGCGATCTGGTATCGTATGAAAGCCTGTTTACACTGAGCTAAAGAGTGGCACAGAAACGTATCCGATTTATCTGTGACTTTCAAGATCGGCGCGTCGCAGCATCTTACGTTCTCGCCTGTGAACAAAACACCTAACGTATATAGTTTCCGTGCCGGTTCAAGGGGTATCTGTGTACAAAATATAGGAGAAAATTGTCTTTGTCGACTTAATTGATAAAACAAAATCTTGCTACTACTTCTAGTCTCTTCTGTAAGAATAGCGCAGTGGAATTTAGTCGAAACCCGAGCAGATAAAGCTTAGCCAGTGAAACGAGCTCGTACGAGCAAACAGGTGTGATGCAGTGGACTGGGACTCAGCTTAGAAATGTCGCTTGTTTTCGACTTTGGTCAGGGCTTGCGATGTGGTTTGTCCATTAGACACTGCCGCTGTCACTGAATTATGGCGGCTTGATTTGTTTTCTTGCATCTCTTCCTCGTTCCTTTGTGCTGGTACGCTGTCTCCGAGAGGCAAATGTTGCTATTTTCGCGGGAGGTTTAGTTGGAGTAGACAAACATCTCTTTCAAAGGGTTTCTCGTATTACTTCCATGACTCTACCACTGAAATATATATTTTCGATCAACTACTCGCCAATGTCGATGTTATTCCAAAACAAAAACAACTAAGTACTGTCTACAACACGAAGGGATTTCTCATCCATGTCATCCATGGCAAAACTAAAAGACAGCAGATCGTATTTCATAACTAGATGACGTGTATTTTATAAATGCGTGCAGCTCGTGCAAGGTGAAATTATGCTAATTTCAATCACCATCATCCTCCTTTTTAATTTTGAAAAAAAAAAACATTTCATACGTCTTTCTGTATCTTCGAAACTTCGAAATTAGTTTCCCCTCAGTTTTTACTGTGTACCTTGTTTTATTTTAGGGAGAAAAACGGAGAAAAAACCTTACAACTAACTTCAATACATTTTGTTTACATGCGGTTGCCGGATTTGCGACTCATTGTGCGAATCCCCATGGCGCGTTGCACCCGAGAGATATAGTTTAAAGCATTACAACGCCACTACATCAAAATATATCAATCTAATTTTGGGTTATGTTATATAAAATTTATCCCCCTTTAACATATGTAAAAATTGGTGTTAAGAAGTGTCAGGCTTTTGCAAACGAAACGAAGAAAGATGATTAGGTGATATTTAGTGGAAGGAGGAGGTGTTCAACACTTTCAAATTTAACTCAAATTCTGGCATTATACGACCAACAAGTTTCAATTATGGGCATACAGACACAAACATATGAAACTGTTTATTGATATTGTTATGAAACGAATTTATCTATTTAACATTGTAGCCTGAAATTACAGAAAGTAAATAGGATTTCCGGTTTGCAAAAAGGAAAACTTCGCCGGCCTTCAAGCGCACCGGAAGCGCGGAAAGAGCGCTCGTGCCAGTCCTACTCCGCGTCACACATTAAATGAAGAGCGGAGCGCTCGTTTCACCGCCCAATATTTATCCGCCCTGGTGGAAACAACGCAGCTCGCCTGAATGGGTAAGGAATCGCGTATTTCGCGAACAAATTGATGGAAGGTAAGCTTTTTTGAACTAGTAAAACTATTCGAAAACGATATGTGCGCGCGTGATTTTCTTTCACTTTTCTTTTTCTATTCAAAACGGAAAAAAACATTCTTCAAGTAAAAAGGGAGGACAGTACCTCCAACATCGATCGAAACATTTACGCTGATTGCTGCTCCTACAAGGTTGCTGGCGACGCATCTGTAGATGAGCATTCCACTACTTGATAGTGATGTGGTCCACATTCCTGAATTGTTACTTCCCAAAAGAACATTATTTTCAAAAAACTGATAAGACGAGACTGGTGGAATAGCATCAGCTGAGCAGCTCAGGGATACAGAATCGTTCTGGCAGGCTTCATCCCCAATGTTGGTCGCTACCAAGCGTACATTCTCAGGTTTGACTAAAAAAATAATTAATGTATTTTCAGCTGCAACGACATTTACTGTCAACACCCCTTAATCATGCCATAAGCTTGGGGGATATAGGAAGAGTAGCGTCAAGGTCATTTTAGTATTAGATCAACGTAAATTTGTCTAAAACGCACAGTACCAAGTAGTTTTCCGAGGTGTTATCCCTTGTTTCCACCTTCCTTCTCTATAATCGTCTGGGTCGTATCGATCGCCCGGTTCGTCTAAAATTTCTCTAGCGAGCAGTGGCTTTTCAATCTTCCTGCATAAGTCGGGAAGACTTATCTAGGAAGGGTATTATAATGTGTTTAGCAGTCGACACAATCATATAAAAAAGAGTTGCGGGCGATCGTATGTCACTGTATACATGCAGTAGCCATATAATCGTCCGAATCGTCCGAATGTTTTGAAGGAAGTCTAACAGGCAAACACTAAAAACTAGAGGAGCAGGAATAGAAGTGTACTACTTTACCCTGATTTTGCATCATTATGATGCTCAAGAAATTTTAACAACAGGAATTTTAGCCTGAGAAAAGAGCCGACATTTCGTAACGCCACCACAGGCTTGCCCGCAAAATGAAGTCTGAGGAATGAGCGCAGAAATTCCATACTGATGAAGTGTCACTACCCAGATCTAGGTAGTACTCCTGATTGGTTGATAATTTTCTTCATCCAATCAGAAGCACTGCCCAGATCTGGGTAGTGGCGCATTATCAGTGTGGAATTTCTGCGCTTCTTGCTAAGACGTCATTTCGCGGGGAAACCAGTGGCGGCTTCGCGAAAAGCCGGCTGTTTTCTCAAGCTAAAGGAATTCATGATTTCTTAGCGACATTTCTCGCTCTTCTTAAAATACAGAAATTTACACGATTGTCAAAATACCATGGCATGAGTGACACCTTTGCAACTTACATGGTACGGCGATGTTCACTGTCTCCACTGCATTGCCACATTCGTTGCTGACCTCACATCTGTATTCCCCAGCTTGACTCCTACTAATATTAGTGAGTTGTAGCAAACTTCCATTTGTGCGCTGTCCACTGCTAACCTTCACCCAGGAAACAAAGGGTAAAGGGACACCAGTTGCCAGGCAGAGCAAAGTTAAGTTGTCAGTCTCGTTAACTGTCTTATCTAGAATTGGCGCGATAGTCGGTGGCACTGCAATCAAATACCGGAAACGTAAGAGGAAAATTGAAGGCGTAGGTAGGACTACTTTTAAGCAATTACCAAACCTTCAAAGATCTGACTAAATAGGTGCCTCAAATTGCAGAAAACGCAAGATAAATTTCGGAAAAGGCAAATACGGATGGGCAAAGCTCATGCAGAAGATTAAGAAGGTTTCAGCTAAACTTGATGAATGGCAACCAGCTCTATTTCAGTTCCGTTTATCCAATGGATAGCATCGTCACTATTAAAAACCGAGGGGCTGGACAGTCACGCAGGTACATACGAAAGGACTACCGCAATACACGCTGGGAAAAAAAGTGCTAAAAATCGGCCACAAAATGTGTCCAAAGTCTGTTTAAAAATATGCGTGGAATGTTACAAATATCTCTTAAACTATAGAAGATAATGAGTTGAGACTTTCACTTTGTATTTGTATTAAGTTATTCTTTCAAATTCTCCATTTTTGGGGTTAGTACTGCGTATGACCAAAAAGCCCATTTTGTGACGTCACCAGTTGTGGCGTCACAAAAATGAAATTTGAGATTTCAAATCGGACAAGTTCTTCAATTTTATGTGCACTATATCTCTGCAAAGTTTCACACTTACAGGTTTAATTCCCTTGGAGGAGAAGTCGTTGGGAGTTTTGATTTTTTAATTGGCCACTAGAGGGTCACGTGACTCTTTACCAAGAAAACGCCTACTCCAAAATTTTTCGGGAGTCAAGTATTGTTGCCTGTATTAATTTCAGTGTCATGCCTTTAAAGGAAAGATAGTTATAATCATGCCCCCAATCTATCACGCTCCCAATCTTTTGGCCGAGGTTTTAGCACTTTTTTTCCCAGCGTGATAGGAAGCGAATACTCTCCAAAACTCCTTGTCATCAACCCCCAAAACATTATTACAAATTTGAACAACTACATGAAAGAGTTCACCCTGTGAGCACAGCCTGAGCCTCCTTTTCATATCTTAATTATGGAGGAGATGTTAAGGGGACTCTGCCTGAATCGTGTCAAACCTTTGAAGTTGCCGCATCCCGAACTTCTGCACTAGTTTGGAGGCTTTTTCGAGTGCAAGCATTCGTTTACTGATAAACCCATGGTCATAACTGAGCCTGCTGTACCAAGCTCACAGCTATTACGCTATTAAGCAACATTCAGTGCATGTTAAACTAAGATCTTACTCGATCCAAGCAGGGTCTTTCTCGAGTGTGGCTTGTTTATAGTGGAAAGTGCACTTAACTTATGCACTCAAATACTTAGAAACAAATAATACAACATAACAGGATTAAAAGCGCCAACTAGCAGAAGGCAACCAGTTGGCTATTTACAAGCGTGACCGAGGATTTCAACTCGGGACGACCAAGAACAAATCCAAAGTCGCCAGAGCGGGACTCGAACCCGGAACGTGCGGATTGCGAATCCGACGCGCTGACCACCCGGCCAAAGCTAATAAAATAAAAGAAAGGCTCTGCAGGAAGGGTTAAAAGAGGCTAGATTTTATTTGATGCAAGCAGAGTCTTTATCGAGCGCGCCAACATCAAACTAGCAATAGAAAGGCTCTGCTGAAAGGGTGAAAAGAGGCGGACATGAAAAATGAAATTCATGATTACCATTAACGGTGATAGAAACACTCGGGGTTTCTGAACTTCCCACAGAGTTGTTTGCCACACATTTGTACATCAACACTCCGGTGTTTGACAGTGTTTGAACCCACATTCTTGTGTTGCTTTCCCCAACATCAGTGCCATTTCGAAACAACTGATATGAAGTCACTTCTGGATTGGCATCTCCGACTGAACAAGTAAGTTTCAAGATGTCATTCTGGCATGCTTTGTTTGCACTGGCGTTTGTTGTTAGCTGAACGTTCTCTGGCTTGTCTATAGGAAAAACAATGTTTATATTTACATGACAAAGTTCAATCAACATATGATGTGGCATGATAGCTAGGAAAAAACCAAGACATTGGCCAAAAGACGCCATTCACTTGTATATATGGGATTTTCTCCCAAAGCAGTGTAGCATACATATATGTAAGATAAAAACGGAAACAATATTCAGACAACCACCAAAGACACTATAACTTCAATGCTACTCTTAAGCCGTTGGTCCGCTTAATTGTATTGCCATGGCAGTCTATGTATTACGGTGAACATCAGACAAAACGTTGTCCTAATTTTTAAAGGAAATTCCTTTAATAAAACAGCTCATAAAAACTTGCGAGTCTTAAGTCAGAGAAACGGTCCTGTAAACCAAAAATGACAGTCTAAGAAAGGTCCACAAATAATCCATAAGACAGTGAAAACAAATTCAATCCTGGATTACTGCTCAATGGGCTTTGGAGAACAGGGCAATCAAATTTCGTCTAAGTCACGTTCATTTCAATGCAAAATTTACGAAAGAGCTCAATTCCCTTCAACATCGTCTCGTGTAAAGTCCTTGTTTTTTAGAAGGGCAAAAGAGCTAAACAGACGATGTCAATAATATATAGATTTAGCCGGGGCTAAAAGCGAGGCTGCCATTAATAAATTTGTAATTTAAATCAAACAATAAACTTGTATTCCACAATTCAGTTAACTTTAGAGCACATTCGTGTGACTTTTCAGGGAAAGGTTAAGTGATTTTACAAAAAATAATTTGCAAACAGCCCAAGAGTGAACCAAATCTCACATCGAGTTGATAGCCTCATAAGTACACCCAAAAACTGGCAATCATCTTCGATCACATTTATTAAGAGCCATAATGGCTCTTGATCACCGTAGATTAATTAGGCCTGGAAAAAAAATTCCGGCCGAATTTTTTGCGTTCCACAAGTTTATTTTACAAAATCTTGCCAACAAATCTGGGTGCGTGTAAACCAACCTTTTATATCATTTATACATCACATCTGAGGTGAAACAGTACTATGAGGCACTGTTTTTATCATACAGACCTCTGACAACAGAATGCAGTATTTCACAATATTGCGATACAAATTGCTATTCAGGACGATCGAAGCACGCGTGGGCTTTAGCCGTAAACAGTACTAACAAGAGAGAGTACGAACAATCAATAAAAGAAATAACATTCGGTGAAACAAGTACAGACACGACAATTTTCATTCAGGAAGACAAGTATTAAAAGGTCTCTAAAAATCCTGAGTCTTCAAGCTTAAAGCTGAAGTTTATGTTTTAAGCCGGCTTCCCGGAAGACGAACTCGAGGCAAGAAAATCGCTCAAACCTTTCTTTTACAGCCAGAATTATAACTAAATATTCTTTGAAACGTTTTCTTTCTATTTGCGGTGAGAAAATGTCTAAAGGATTTTTAAAGATCTGTAAGCTTATATGAAACCTGATACTGTCAGATCAAGCTTATAACAAACCTGATACTCGGTCAGATCATTGTCCTCAAATCTTACAACAAAATAGCCGCATAAACTATGCTCGACTTCATTAAATTAGGAATAAAAAACAAACATCAAATACAATAATTACTTAGGCTTACCACTCGAGATGCAGCTCCTGAAAGGTATCAAGTAAGGCCAGTATCGCTTCAGACTTTGCAACCCTCTTACGCATTAAGCAAGATGAAAACGAAAACGATGCCATCCGAAATCGGATTTCCGACTTTGACTCACCCAAAAACCCAATAAACAAACTAGCCATGAATAACAGAAGACTCCTGATAGCGGCTGAATTTCATTTTGTACATGCAGTGGAAAAAGAGAGTTAAAAACATCACAAGTTGACACAAAACTCTGTCAGCTTCAGCTGTCAAAGTAAACAAGATTCAAGATGCTGCATAAATTTTCAGCATGAACTCACCTGTCAAATTTTGACCAATCAGAGCATAAAAATTGGACGTAGAGCGTGACCAACGCGTGAACATGGCGAGAAAAGTCAAAAGCAACTCTCTTCCCTGCCTGTAGCAGCTGGCTGAATTTTCGCGTCCGAGGTCAGTTTGAAATCAAAATTTTAATTGTGCGGCACATAAACACAACATATTTCATATGAATTTTTTAAAAAAATTAAACTTGAGCCTGCGATCATTTGAAAAACAGTACCTTGTCAGCGGATAACTTCAAAAAAACACTTGACCTCGATGGGTCGACCCCGCGAGCCAGAGATACAGTCAAGTGATACTGGTCAGCGGATACCTTGTTTTGACTGCTGTCAATGGATCACAACATTGACGTGTATCAGTTTTCCTGGGCTCCGATCCCAAACTAGCTAGAAAGTATGAGACTGAACATTGATCGCAATCTAGTAAAATAATTAACTGGTCAGCGGACAGCTTCCAAATAAATCACGTCAACTCAATGAGTTGACACATGAGCCCGCGATATGGTCATGGGATACTGGTCAGTGGCTATCCTGTTTTGACAGCTGTCAATTGACCATATTGTGAATGTCCAATGTAAGAGATGTGGACTTGGCAAGACACGCCTGAGACACCCCTCCCTTCCTTTTGATAGTCTCCCCTACCCCACCCGTACAATCCGTAGACGCGTACGTACGTACGCTCGGTCAATCACGTGACAACCAAACGAAAAGAGGTTGACCATAATCTATGGGTATGGGACTCTTCGCGCGCGTGGGAGCCCCGCTATGATGTCAATCTAACAAACTCGTACTCAGGCTCTCTCTCTTCTTCCCCCGAAACGCGACGCTGTATATTCAGACAGACTGAAAGCTTAGCAGGGTGCTTAAACAACGACGATAGCGATGGCAACGTGAACGGGAACGGTAAAAGAGCAATATAGGATTAGATGAGCAAAACACCAGCTTTGCAGGTGCATCACACTTTCTTTTCTTTCTTTTTTTTTTACATTTCCTGACCTCGTTGTACGACTACGACGTGAAAATTCTTAATTTAGCGTTTTATAGAGGACGTGATCAAAACAGAACGATTTTTTTCTGAAGTTAGATATAGTCCACAGACGTCAAATCAAGCAAAATTGACAACATTTGACAAATTGAACACAGCGGAATAATAGCGATGATGTTTGAAAGAGGACCAGTATACTTTTTAAGTAACGTTTTTGCTATCGTCGCCAACGTGGATGCCAAAGCCCCCTTAACGATACGGCAGAATTTGGTGAACTCCGTTCATTACTTACACTGCACATCAATGTCTTGTGCCTCTGATGCATTACCACACTCATTTCTGGCTTCACATCTGTAGTCTTTAGCTTCACTCCTGTTGATATTGATGAATTGTAACACACTACCATCCAGTGACTGACCAGTGCTGATTCTCACCCATGACACGACTGGCGGAGGAGTACCAAATGCATTACAAGACAGGTTCAAGTTACCACCTTCAGTCGTTGTCTTGTTTTGCAAAGGCTGGATGGTTGATGGCACTGGAGTGAAAAATGAAAATGAAAGTATAAAAAAAAGAAAGACTAACAGCTGTTTCTTCTGATTGACCTTATAGTTGGGGACATTAAGATTAAACTGCAAGCACAGATACTAAAGCTGTACGTGCTACGGACGACTGAGTGAACAACTCTTTTTAAGGGACATTTGGATTGAAAATGTAAATGAAATTCTGTAGCTATCTGTCCAGCAGAGGCGAGTTGTTCAAAGCTGGGTTTAGTGCAAAATTTGAATTCAGATCTGAAGGCTTAAAAAGCAAATTCAGTTTATTTTTTTTGTCTACAATTTGATGATTGGATGCTCCAAAAATGAAAAGAGAACATTATCCAATAAAATAATTTTGATTAGCTGCGGGGATTAAATTTAACCCCAGGTAAGCGATAATTGGCCTTCACATAACTTGGCCTAGAAAGTTTCGGGAGAACTGGAAGAAAAGTGACAGTACATGTGAGTACTACAGCAGCATGTACTGTGCTTCAGATATAAACCAACTGACACTACTCGTGCCCTTTAAAGGAGTCCATCCTCTGGTCAAAAACATAAGACTATGAGTTCTAAGGAAAGAATTAATGAATTAATATAAACCATTTGAAAACAGCAAACAAGTACACGTCTCATCTCCCATCTAATTGCACCTCCTCGGGTATCACACACAAAATGTCATCACTCTTAATACACTGTAGTTGCTTAAAAAAGTCGAAACCATGAGGGGAATCTTCCAGGAACAAGTCTACACGCATCTACTTAATTAAGGAAATTTATTCCATACAGTTTCTCAGTTATGTGTACGCCCATGATGTCACTGTGGTTTTTCATTAAACGCTGATGTGGCAGAATATGTACAGAGAACACAGAGATCAGATCGTGTGTAACTAGAATCAGTCAAATCATAATAAAGTGTTAGAGCAATTTTCGTATGACTTTGAAATGAAAACGCACGAACAAAACAAAAAAACAAACGAACGGAAATAAAGCGATTTGATCGGTTTATCGAACGGATGCAAACGCACCTGGCTTTTGGTTGGTTAAGTGAACGCTCGGCTGAAAAAACTTCATGCCCGAAGAACTTTCTAGAAATCGCTTTGACGTCATACTGCAACACGATTGGTCAATCGAATAATGCCTTCTCCATGTTAGGGTTTTCTTTGGCGGAAACATGAAGAGCCCGTGTTTTGTTCTTTTCATCCATTGGCTGATAAAACAAATAGCAAACACTTACGGAAACCATTTTTCAAGGTCATTCGAAAATCGATCTAACATGAGTACCAACGTACTTTTACGGTCTCACTTACCGTAAACAGTAATGTTAATATTTGTGCTGCTTGCTGATCCAATGGAATTGTTAGCTACACATTTGTAGTGAAACATGCCTCCTTCTGACAGTGCTTTAACCCACATTCCTGAGGCACTTGTCTCCATAGGAACGTTATCTTTAAACAACTGGAATGACATCGCAGATGGAACAGCATCGGCTGAGCAGGTGAAGCTTACTACATCACTCTGACAAGCTTTATTAGTAGTGGCATTTGTTGTCAATAGCACATTTTCTGGTGGATCTACAATGGAGTAATAAAATACATTCAAGAAGTATCATTTAAAGGAGAATAGTTATTGCTGTTCTAGTTCGATTTGTAGTGCCTTAACCCATACACAAAATGTTCCTGTAAGGTTATGAAGAAGACATCAAGGCAAATCATCTTGTCAGCAAGTTTCATATCATGTGTTACAAGAACAGTGCATTAAATGCAACATCCAGTAATTTTGTCCTCTGTCCTGTGAATTACTTCTGTGAAGTATTTCAACTGACAATGATTACCAACTGTCAGCCTGCGTAGCAGGCGCTTGGAAGAAACGACGCACGAAAGAACGAGGCAAGCGCCTGCTACGAAGGCTAACCAACTTTGAATACAAGTGTTGTTTCTGCGGCAATAATTATCATGGTATCCGTATTGCCTTCCACTTTACTACCGTAAATGTTGGGATTATCCTACAGTGTCATAGCATTATTATTGTTATTATTATCATTATTATTATTATTATTATTATTATTATTATTATTCAGAGTACAAAAAGGTTCTGCTTGATCCATCACTTGTTGAGAACTAATGTAACGTCTTATGCTAAATCTACTCACACAGCACAGTAACGTTAACTGCCTCTAATGCACTCCCACACTCATTGTTAGCTTCGCATCTGTATTCTCCAGCTTCACTTCTGCTAATGTTGGTAAACTCCAGTACACTGCTGTTTGTGCGCTGACCACTGGCGACATCGATCCAAAACACAGTTGGCTGAGGAGTCCCAGATGCATTACAAATAAGGCTTGTATTGCGACGTTCGAAAACAAAATGATCTTCGACTGACTGAATGGATGCAGGCACTGCAATTTTAAGGGACATTTAAGATGTAATGGTTTTATTCTCTCCCTCTTTTTTTTAATACTACATGTGTAAAAACGGAGTACATGAGCAATCATCATACACGTACAAAAACTGTCTATTATATTTCAGATCTGTGATTAAAAGTTAAATGACAAGGCTGTGAAAAGAAACTCAGGAGCAGGGGGATCTGCAAGTACTGCATAACATTAAATTTAAATTTTGATAACCCTGAAAGGCTGGGACCTCAATAGTTTAAAACTGCGAAAATAACCATGTATAAGCCCTCGAAATATAGGAATAGAAGAATAGAATAATTCTTTATTTAAACACGATTAAATTCATCAGGAGTACAAAAAAAAAATTAGATACACCTAACTACCCTAAACAGTATGCAAAACTATCTACAACTAACCTAACTAAGACCTGTTTTTTATGGATGCCGCGTGTACACAGTACTTAAAAAATCAGAAATTCTGATGAGCCAATCGTTTAAAATGACTTTAAGTTTTAGCCTCTCTCATATCACAGGGCAGGCTGTTCCAGAGAACTTCTCCGCTATAACTGAAGCTATGAAGTTAGTTCGCGGGAATGGGACAATTAGTTTGTTAACAGAGTCCCTTAGGGAGTAGCGCGTTTCATATCGTTTAAGATATTTAGAGGATAAATATCCTGGAACAAGATTATTTAAGGACTTGTAAACCATTAGGGCTTTTTGTATTTGAAACTGAGTGCTCAAGTCTTTCCAATTAAGTTGTCCAAAGAAGCGGTTGGCATCAGCATCATATCTAGAAAAAGTTGGAACCCAAGCAGCACGGTTCTGAAGCTTCTGTAGCCTGTCAAACAGAGTGTTTCCACAATTACCCCAGACAATATCGTTGATGTAAATAAGAAATAAAAGGGGACCAAGAATTGTTCCTTGAGGTAGTTCGGAGTGCGAGCATGAAAGTTAACATAATCCAAAAATTTTCGTTTTCCAGTTAGCCCACAAAACATTAGGATCATAAGAGCCGTTACAAGTCCAGTCCTGCTGAGCAATATCGGTACGAAAACTCTCTCGATCACAATTTTTAAAATTTCTGTAAGAAATGGTTGAATGCCCTTTTGAAGGAAACGCAGGAGATAATTTCCTATAAACGTAAATACGGCTGTGATCGCTGATGCCAATATGAGAGCCTCCGGACGTTCATTTATAAGTTGTTGAAGCCCAAATAAATCAGAAATTTCACATGACGAGTATTTGAATCATGCTGTAAAGAGGCCAGGTTACAATTTAAATCACCTGAAAGATAATACTCAAGACCAAGGGAATCTAATTTTTCAAGAAATGATTTGTAATATGAAAATAAATCAATCGAGGAGCAAGGAGGTCTATACCATGTAGCTATCAGAAATGGCTTTGAGTTAGGTTTACGAATTTCAATTCATACATTTTCAAGATTAGGTACATTTAGATTAGAACAAACTACAAAATTAATTGAGGTTTTTACATAAAAGCCTACTCCTCCGCCTTTTCTTGTCCTCAAAAACCGGTGAAAAATCCTAAACGAATCAACAGTTCAATTTTTTTTAAACACTGTTGGTTTATTAGGAAAGCCAGATTATGAAAGTTTCTTTGATATAGGGCTTTAGATACCTCCAGTTTAACCGGCACACGCTATTCTACTTGCCCGTGAGACACCTGGAAGAAAGTGATACACTATAACAAGAAGGGAACTGACAAACAGCAGAGAAAACAGAACATCCTATCTTTTTATATAATCATATATTGGCCTTACCATTAACAGTAATGGAAACCTCCTGGCTGCTTGTTGTTCCTGCAGTATTGTTTGCCACACATTTGTATGTTAAATTACCACTGTTCATCACCATTTTGCTGAACTCTCCTGAGCTGCTACTACCAAACATAACATCATTCTCAAAAAACTGATATAATGCCACTGGTGGGTTTGCATTAGCTGCTGAACAGTTAAAGAACACAACGTCATTCAGACATGCTCTCTTAGCACTGACATTCGTTGTTAACTGCACATCCTCTGGTTTGACTGAAAAGAGATAACAAAAAGACAAAAACACCCTTTAAACATTGAGTGAAAAAAGTAAATGTTAAGAAATAATACATAATTAGGTGCAGGGTGTTATCTGTGAAAACTGATGATAATTGATGTAGAAAACATTCTTTGGAGATCTGTCCAAACAAATTGACCAAAAATGATGTAAGCGTCTACATTGTACATTATGAACTTTTGTCTCAATAAATTTGAAATTTTAAACTTTAGTTTGAATGACCAGCCACAAAAAGTCTTAAACAATGGGATAATTTTTTTCTATTTAGTCAATCAGTCTAAAACAAAAGTTTTAAATATTAGTTTTATACTTACATGTACAACACAAACCGTTAACTCTCAAAGCCCTTATTTCTCAATTCTCTCGAAACTCAGACCAAAACTGACTTTCTTTCCAAGGTCAAACACTGCCAATTTACAGCTAGTAACTCCCCCAAAAATTGCACCAACTCTGTTCCCCAGGAGGATATTTGAAAAATTGCGATTCCTTTATCCTACATATAACAACATTCTAAGCATTTTCTTTTCTTACTGCAGTTTGGATGGAAATAATGATGGGTAAACCACAGTACAAGCAGCTACTGAACATAAAATACCACTGGGATTATACATTTACTTTTATTTACCATTCATAGCAGTCACTTACAGTTAACAATCAGAAATGTACTTTTGGAGTCATTTCCACAAAAATTGCTTGCTTCACACTTGTATTCTCCAGCATCACTTCTACTGACATTAACAAGTGCTTGGATTTTCCCTTCTGTACGGTGACCTGTTCTAACTTCTGTCCAGGATACAGGTGGCGTAGGTGTACCACTAACATGACAAGTCAAAGTACTGTTTTCACCCTCTATTACTGTGATGTTGGTCAGAGCCTGTATCATAGATGCCTCTACATCAAAAGGGAGATAGAGATGATTACATTTGAGATTCAAACTTTTTTGTGTCAGGTTGACAAAACATTAAATACAGTTAAATGCATTTTACCAGTTAATGACAAGGAGCAATAGTCTTGTTATAGTGGCACCAAATCAATAGGGTCTTTCCATGACTTGATCACGTGATCAACTTTCAGTAAACACAAAACCCGTTCACTTTTGGAAAATTTTGTTAGCACAAGCTGAAAGAGCATATTAAAATTAGGTAACCTGAGAATTTTCAGCCGTATGTCTCAAAAGTAGCGATTGCAATGGCCGTCGAAAGTTAGAAACATTTGTATGAGAAAAACAACTTTTGCCATCCTGGACACGCTTGCATGGTTTTCCATACAATTCCTTGTAATTTCGAAATTTTCAAAACTTTCATGGAATATTTTCTTAAGCATTACAGGGTTCAAATCTCCTTTTAATTCATAACAGGCAATTTGAGCCCTTAAATGTATAACAAAAAAATTAACGACAGTTGGCAAAAGTTGTTTTTCTCATACAAATGCCTAATTCTAACTTTCGGCGGCCGTTACAATCGGCTATTAATTTTTGGAGATACACAGCTGAAAAATTCTCAGGTTATATTTTAGTTTTAATATGCTCTTAGAGCTTGTGCTAACAGACGTTTTCAAAAGCAAACTGTTTTCGTTTTTACTGAAAGTTCAACAGGTGATCAAATTCATGCAAAGAGCCTATTTGGAGCATTTTTGTTGGCCTGCCTTTGACCAATTTTTCTAGCATAATGTACTAAATGCTTGTGGGGTTTGTATGTTGGTGGATTAATAATTAATTATCTAGATACAGTACAAATGCACATTATTTTTTTCATTTTTTACCATTTACAGTGACAGTTGTTGTTGCATTTGCCGTTCCCACAGTATTATTAGCCTCACATCTGTAAACAAGCACTCCTCCAGCTGACGCTGTCTTAGTTACTACTGAACTACCACTGGTATTTAGAAGGGTATCATTTTCAAACAAGAGGTAAGTATCAACGGGAGGGTTGCCATCAGAAGAGCAGCTTCTATTAAAGACATCACCCTGACAGATGCTTGAGCCACTCACATTCAACTGGACATTCTCTGGTTTGACTGAAGTAAATAGAACAAGGTATCCTTGTTAGAAAATAATTTCCTCCTGAGGATGAATAATAATTCTTATCATTCATTGGCAGAAAGCCTACCACATGACCTACAAATAACTGCCCACAAATAATGGTCTGCTCATGCCCAACGTCGTCCAACTTTGTTTGGCTGCAAATAATATTCTGCTCATGCAGAAATGAAACCATGTTTTTTTCCTTCATGCGATCGCTCTTACGTGAAAATGGCAGATCTCCTCGTTTTTCGAAGATAATCCTTAATAAAACAAACTCAGTTCTGTCTTCGGCAATAATTGCTCATCACTGACAAATCACAATTGGCTCGATCTCATCCAATATATAATAATAGTTAATTATTATTTCAGTGATAACCCTGACCAGACATAAACTTCTTACATGTAGGTCTTTGCAAATAATTTGTGCAAACAAATAAATTAAAGCAATAAGAAAAAATATTAATCAAATATTACACAGGCAGGGGTTTCATTAAGAATTGCAGAAGCAGGAGAATAGCGTAAAGTAACCAGAGAATATTTTAAAAGAGCGAAGCCCTTTCCTGGAAAGAAAACGAGCCTGGACGTTTTGCGTTTTAAACCCTGCTGAGTTGGCTTTACCTATTGTCTGAATGTAAATGTTATTTCTCGTAGCTGCCGAACAAAAAACATTGCATACCCCTACATTGTTTCAAAACACTTTTTCTTCGAATTAACGCGCATATTGGTAAATTATGATCGACTTCTAACGCTGTTACACACTCCTAGAGTTGTCACAAGTACATGTGGCTCTATCTTATTAAATATCAAACATACCAAAAAGTGATAATAAAATTATCCTCAATACGCTTTTACCTTCAATTCAACATTTTTAGATGTTTTCAATAGTTTCAATAGTGAAAACACGAGACGTGATAAACTTTTCCCGCCTCTGTCGGTGACACACGTGCTTGCGCTAGACGCAACACATTTTTTTGTTGTGTGCGGATTAATACGGCAAATGTAAAACATTAACCAATCAAATTTTCATCCACAATTCCTTTGGAACCCTTGACTTGTGCTCAAAATTCAAGACGGCCTCGACTAAAAGTGTAAAAGTTGATGAGCTCGAATTTTGCGTATGGCATTCGCATGTATTCACAAAATCCGTCTGAACCTTCAACGGACATTTCTCAAAAAATAGTATAAAAAGCCCCTTTCTCCTGTCTTCTCAGAAGCCACAGGCGAGCCCAAGTTTTCCTGGCAACTTTTTTACTAACTGATGAGTCATCTTCAAGCATCATCATCATCAAAAGAATCAACTTTTTCTGTTTTGATCTGGACCGGAAGGAAGTCGCCATGTTTAATTTTGAACTAGTTCCCCAACCCTCACCTGGTGAATATCAGCTATCCGACACCAAGTTTCTTTCGTTTGCTCACACATGTGTACCATAACAAGGAGCTAGCTCTCGCAGTATGACCCCTCGTGTGTACTGGCAATGCAAAATGAGCCTGTGTATCGGCCTTTAAACAAATTCGCTCTCGGCGCAAAACTTTGCGTGCCCGGTTTAATAGACGATTTGTTGAATATCGATGAATATTTCTCCTTTGTTTCCTCTGCAGTTACAATTTATAATGTGCCGTTTTAGAAGTCATCGTTAAAATAGAAAAATCTCAAAACTAAAATTTGTATTTGCTTCATATAAATTTGATACTCTCATTTACATACGGTAAACGTCGCCAAATTTATTTCAATAGCAGTTCACAAAGAAATCATTCTTTTTATTCATAAAGGTACTTGATTCTTATCGCTTAAACATTTCTTGTCGTAACTTCGCCGCTATGACTTGTTCATCAGGTACTTTATTTTGTTTCACATTTTGTTTCATTAGTATTTATTCGTTTAATAATTTTTCGCGTGCAAATACGAGCGCCGAGAATACGGTCAAGACTCCACGCTTCAGCACTCAGGGGATGGCGCCATTTACTTATAGCAAAGCCTTGTTACAGTGTATTGATTTTAAGTATCTTTGACATTATTCAGTATGATGTGTAACCTGTCAAATAAAATCTCACTCCTTTAGCACTTGCAGGCTGTACTACTTAAAACTGGTTGCTTTAACCTTTCTTCCTATTGTGGATTTGTAAGAATGTACAAATAATTAATGTACATTTTACTTGAGGTAAACCTAGAGTATAGAGATCTATTAAAGTCGAACCCTGTTAATACAGTCACCAATGGACCGAAAAAAATTGGCCGTATTTAAGGGTGACCGTATTAACAAGGGTTTTTTACATGAAAGAAATTTATGGCCTTTTTGCCAGGCAGCCAAATAAAGTGGCCGTAATAACAAGGTGACTGAGCAAGGCTGCTGCCTAAGAAAATTTTTTGGGAGCCCTCTGGGTTCCTGAAATAAAAAGTTAGGAGCCCAAGCCACATTTCTAGGAGCCCACTGATCGACAAGGAAAACTGACAATGCACACATATTGAACATCAATGTTGTGATCATTTGACAGCTGTCAAAACAGGGTATCCGCTGACCAGTATCACTTGACCATATCGCCTACTGAAGTCAGTATTTTTGAAGTTATCCGCTGACAAGTTACTAGTTTTCAAATGATCGCGGGCTCAAATTTAATTTGTTTTAAAATTCATATGAAATATGTCGAGTATTTCTGCCGCACAATTAAAATTTTGATTTCAAACTGACCTCGGACGCGAAAATTCAGCTAGCTATTACAGGTAGGGAAGACAGTTGCTTTTGACTTTGCTCACTATGATCACGCGTTGGTCATGCTCCTTGTCCAATTTTTATGCTGTAATTGGTCAAAATTTGACAGGTGAGTTCATGGGGAAAATTTATGCAGCATGTTGAATCTTGTTTACTTTGACAGCTGAAGCTGACAGAGTTTTGTGTCAACTTGTGATGTTTTTAACTGTCTTTTTCCACTGGATGTACAAAATGAAATTCAGCTGCTATCAGGAGTCTTCTGTTATTCACGGCTAGTTTGTTTATTGGGTTTCTGGTTGAGAAATATGTCACTTGTCAAAGTCGGAAATCCGATTTCGGATGGCATCGTTTTCGTTTTTCACCTTGCTTGATGCCTAATTGGGTTGCAAAGTCTGAAGCGATACTGGCCTTACTTGATACCTTTCAGGGCTGCATCTCGAATGGTAAGCCTGAGTAATTTTTGTATTTGATGTTTGTTTTTTATATCTAATTTAATGAAGTCGGCTTAAAACATAAACTTAAGCTTTAAGCTTGAAGACTCGGGATTTTTAGAGACACTTTAATACTTGTCTTCGTGAATTAAACCACTAAATAAAAAATAACCATAACAAATTCTTTATTATGTTCAAACGTAACTCTGTTAATGTTCATTCAAACACGACCACAGCTCGCTCTGCAAAAGTAGAACCGGCTGGCCATATATACTAGGTGATTTTGGAAATTTTTTTAACTGCTTAGCAAAAAGCCCACGCGTGCTTCGATCGATCGTCCTGAATGTTGAAAGAATGCACTTTGTATTGCAAAATTGTGAAATACTGCATTCTGCCCGAGGTCTGTATGATCAAAACAGTCCCTCATAGTACTCTTTCACCTCAGATGTGATGTTTAAATGGTATAAAAGGTTGGTTTAGACGCACCCAGATTTGTTAGCAAGATTTTGTAATGTAAACTTGTCGAACGCAATGAATTCCGCCTGATTTTTTTTTCAGGCCTAATTAATCTACGGTGATCAAGAGCATTAAATCTAAGAGGAATTACATCACTTATCTTATGAATACTGCGCGTCTTGAATTCTTCAAGGAATTCATTGAGAAGAACAGTTCCAATCCGAAGGATTTGTTCACGGCAACAAAGAAACTACTGAAACATAATCATGATGTTCTTTTCCCGGCATCTGATAATAAATTGACTCTTGCCAATGAAATGGGTGCTATCTTTGTTGATAAGATCAGAACGATTCACGCTAAGCTGGATAAATTAACATCAGCATTATCAGAAGTTTCTAGTGACGATACTGAATCATCTGTGCTTTGATGGATCATTTTAAACCATTGTCACAAGGAGATGTGCGTAAACTCATTGAAGGTTTTCCTAAGAAAAGTTGTACTTTGGATCCCATGCCAACGTCTTTGGTGATTAACTGTATTGACGTGCTTCTTCCAGTTATTACTAAAATCATTAATCTGTCCCTGGAGTCTGGTTCGTTTGCATCAAACTGGAAATGTGCACTGGTTAATCCGTTATAAAGACGACCGGTCTTAATCTGGTATTTAAGAACTGTAGGCCAGTAAGTGACCTACAGTATGTGTCAAAACTAACTGAAAGAGCGGTCTTTAATCAGTTGCATGAACATATGATGGCAAATGGCATTTATCCCTTGTTCCAGTCTGCATATAGACAATATCACAGTCTGAGACTGCATTACTGAGAGCAATGAACGATATTCTTGTAAAGATGAATTCCCAGCATGTAACGTTACTGGTTCTTCTGGATCTTAGCGCAGCATTTGACACAGTGTGGCATGATGTGTTGCTCGATCGTTTGCATAATGATGTTGGTCTACGTGCGAATTCACTCAATTGGTTCTACTCCTATCTTTCTCAAAGAAGTCAGCGAGTCTCTATACATGGTACTCTGTCAAATTATTTCGACTTGGACTGTGGTGTTCCACAAGGCTCTTGCCTTGAACCTCTATTATTCGTAGTTTACGCGTCTAAGCTATTTACTATCATAAAGAAAAATCTTCCTAACGTGCATTGTTTTGCCGACGATACGCAATTGTATCTTAGTTTTAAGTCTGATGATAAGTCCAGTCTGGATGAAGCTATTAGTGCTATGAATAGATGTATCAGTGACTTAAGAAATTGGATGATTAGGGATAGGTTAATGACTAACGATGATAAAACTGAGTTGATATCAATAGGAACTAGACAACAATTAGGTAAGATCAATGATGTATGTAATATCTCTGTAGGTGATTATGATATTTATCCTAGTTCCTGTGTTAGAAATCTAGGTGCATGGTTTGATAATAAGTTGTCAATGTCAACGCATGTTACTAAAATCTGTAATGCCACGTTTTATCACCTACATAATATTAGAAGGATTAAGAAGTATTTATCTCGCGATTCGTTACTAACGCTTATTCATGCTTTAATCACTAGTCGTTTAGACTATTGTAATGGACTTCTGTATGGCCTTCCTAACTCGCAAATAGTTAGATTGCAACGTGCGCAAAATGCTGCGGCTAGACTTTGTACTGAGCTTAAGTAAGTACTCGCATATTTCTCCCGCGCTTTATCAACTTCACTGGTTACCAGTACAACATCGTGTTCATTTTAAGATCTTAATTTTAACATTTAAAGCTATTCATGGATTGGCGCCTAAGTATATTAAACAACTAGGTCTATATATAATCTTAGATCAAATCAAAGTTTATTGCTAGACCCTCCTAAAGGAAAAATGCTTGTCACGTTAGGTGACAGATCTTTCTCTACTGCTACCCCATATTTATGGAATAGTTTGCCGGCTGAATTACGTGATATTCAATCATTAGCTATTTTTAAATGTAAGCTGAAAACTAATTTATTTCGTGCAGCTTTTACAACGTAATCTGTTGACATTCACTTTATTAGTATTACTAATTAAGTTTATTATCATTATTATAAATATTCTGTATTAAAATACATTGTTAGTATTCATGTACATGTAATTAGTTTTACAAATTTGTATTTTATTGTAGTTTTTTAAGTTGTTAAGCGCTGTTGATCAGTGAATGTAAATAGCGCTCTAGAAGTTATTCAATTTATATTATAAATGTGATCAAAGATGATTGCTACTTTGGGGGTGTACATACGAGGCTATCTTTCGCTGTTTGCAAATTATTTTTCTCTAAAATCACCGAGCCTTTCCCTTAAAAGTCACATGAATGTGCTCTAAAGTTAACTGAATTGTGGAATACAAGTTTATTGTTTGATTTAAATTATAGATCTATTAATGGGAGCCTCGCTTTTAGCCCTGGCTAAATCTATATATTAGAGAGTCTACTCTGTTTTAGTGAGGTGTCAATTTGACTTTCTTTTATGAACCATACCCTGCGCCAGTTCAGCAGTAAGACAATCACACATCAATGGACAAACATAGTAGAATTTGTATTTTGCTTGTTAAGCAAAAAAAAACGTATCTAACCACTAATACTGGGAAATGCACTGCACTTACAGTTAACAGTCACATGGATTGTCTGATTAATGGCACGGCCAATTCCATTGTCAGCCTTACAGCGATATGTTCCAGCATTGTTTCTATTGTTGTTGATCACATATGAATTCCCAGTAAACAGGACATCACTGTCACTCCCATCAAACACTCGTCCAGTTGACAGTTGGTGTTGGGTCACCATCTGCAGAACAGCTTAAGGTGATCGTAGCAGGGTCATTTTCTACCACAACTCGGTCAGGACTAAAACCGTTGAAACTTGGGGGAACTGTACAGGACAGAAAACGTAATTCAATGAGATTAAAAATTATCAATGATTATCAACTCGGCAATGTGATGAGGTGACTAAATTTATAGCAATCACTAAAAATGTAAGAAGAAAGGGTGAGGCTACAATGATTCCAGTGTTACTGGCATGAAGAACCAATGAAATGTCATACTGGGATGGTAGCACACCAAGAGGTACGTGCATACATACTGTACCTGCTGCACATGCATACATTAGGTACAATAGTGATATTGTGTGACTAGGCACATGTACATGTAGAACAAAGGTTAAGCTTGCACTCAAGCCAAAAACAAGTAGCCAATCAGGCTCAGCCTTGTCATTCCATTATACATAGCATTAGAAGTGACAAGCGATATGTCAACTTCCCGTTGGGACCAGATGCCAGTCTATGGCAGGGTAGCCATTTCTATACCTGGTTAGAGTAATGCATAAAAGTACAGTGAAAGTGAGGTGTCTTGGCCACACCAGGAACACAACACAATGTCTCTGACAGGGCTCAAAGGAACTCTTGATTCAGAGTCCAAAGCACATAATTACTGTAGAAACATAGCTTTATTAAATAAATTATTTTACATCATAGAATTTTTCTTGGAATATTTTTATGGAAACAGCTCACTGGAAAAGGATTTTTAATGAAGTGATATGTACCGTTAAAGCTTTCATTGATTGATAAATAATATTATTGTTGATTAATTTACTGACCAGTTGAAACCACTATGCCACATTAAGTTAATCAATGCACTGCTCATATTTCTAGTTCAAATTTACCTTTTTTTTTTAACTCCTGAAGCCTGAAGTGCCTCAATTCAAATGGTAATAACTCAAGGGGGCTTTCGGGTAACTGTTTGTTTATTTCCCTGTCCAAAATTTAGAAATATCATTTCTAAATTTTGCCTTTTTGGATCATATACCCCTTCAAATAAAGGCTACCCATGTGAGCTTTTGATTCACAATTGAGCATACAGTGATTTTGCTACAGTTTTCTATAGTGAGTCCTGGGTACTCACTATGAGTCCCAGTCCAGAATCAATGAGTCCCAGTTCCAAATCCAGTGAGTCCTAGCTATATTAAAAGATGCCAGAACTCTCATGAAACCAGACATAAATATACGCTTAATGTCAGATCCAGAGGGAAACAGTTAGTTTTGTTTTCCCGAGAGTCCTGATATGTTCTTTGAGGGAAACATCAGGACTCAGGGGAAAACAAAACTAACTGTTTCCCGAAGGACCTGACATTAAGTGTTTAGTTACATTTCTAGACTTTCACTTCAACGGCGACAGAAGAATAACCAGAGCGAATCACAACAGTCGACTCGGTACTTGGCTTATAACTGTTATAAGAACACAAATTTAATTCTTAATGAATAAGTGATTTACAAAGTACTTTCCTAATATTATTTTGCATCTCTTTTTTCCAGTAGCTGCTGTTTTTCTTCTGGGATAACTTTGAAAATCGTTGCTTTTTAGCTTGAGGCTTTATGTTTCTGCTGTTTGTTTTCATACATGAAAAAGAAAACTGGCAGTGTTTTTCCCGCCTTCTGTCACGCGACCTTCCACCATGCTTCGATCACGTGCTGTAATGTATCCCGAGCGGGGTACAATTGCTCAAATTACGTATCATCATCGGGATCTACAGTTGATTTTAGTCAAGATGCGACCAAGAATCAACCAATAGCAGTCCCTGTTCTAGTTGAGTGAATTGTCTAAGAATATAACAATCACGTTTAATTGCGGGCAACAAGAGGAGCCCACAATCCTAACCTCCAGGTTGTTATTACGCATGCGTCGCATGTATTTAGCCAGCATTCGTTTGGACTTCCACTAAGAATGAATGGAATGCACAGAACACACTTTAATCCCACACGTTCAGACCTTCCATCACTCATAATCTGTTCACGCGTGTTACGTTATTTCTCACATGAAACTTTATCGCAAAGATAATGAGTAACCACTCCAACAGTAAAATAAACATGGCCGCTTTTAACAAAAAAAAAATGATATCGGAGAATTTGCGTGGAAATTATTTTTTTCACATTTGTAACCTATTTTATGAGAGGACAAAATTTTTCTTGTTTGGAGGTAGCTTTCAATACAGATTTCAATCAGGCAAACAGGGCATTCTTCAAAAAAATTTCCTAGATCGGTCGATCAATCGATCGATCGTTGCGTTCCAAAGGACGCAAGCCATCAATTTTTCTGCGTCCTGGCCCGGGTTGCTCGAAGCATGGTTAGTGCTAACCAGCGTTAAATACCATGGAAACCTATACATTTTGATATCAGTTAACCAACGGTTAGCGCTAACCAGGCTTCGAGCAACCGGCCCCTGGAGAATTTTTATGCGTCAAGGACGCAGGGGTAACAAAATCACTGGAGCATACGAATTCACTGACATAGGCTATTAAAGGCTGTAATACCACTGAAGATACGGTAATGTGTGGTTCCAGAAAATATCCATACCCCCCCCACGGAAGGGATTTGCCTTATGACACCACCTCCCCTCTGGATTTTCCAAAAACGGCCCCCAAAATTTCCCCCCTCCCCTCCGGAATTTCCAAAATTATTGCACACCCCTGGAAATATTGCTATCTCTAATTGAAGTGAACAAAGAAGTAGTTTTGTTCACTAGGATGCCAAATTTTGTGAGATTCATGTATTTTCTGTTGAATTGTCTAACAGATAAGCGAATTCCTTATGCGAACTGCTTATGCACTCAAGTCACAGACAAATTTTGTGCGTTTCATGTAATTTCTGTTGAATTCTACAATTCTGCAAATGAAATGCAAGGTCGCGTAGGAAACATAACTGTCCTTTCTCGCACTGCGTCAAGAAGAACGCAACACTTGAAGAAGTATAATTAAAGCGATCAGGACCTTGTCGCGCGATAAGACTGTGTGAGTATCGAATTTTGTTCTACCAAATTTGCATGTTTGAGTTTGCGGTAAAATTGCGCTTCGCCGATTTCATTGATAAGAAAATTGTCACGCAAAGTTTAACGTGCTGGAAAAGACTCGTGTAACTTCTTTGTGATAGAGAAGCAGTCAAGAGAAGAAGAAATGCACTCAATTAAAAAAAAATATTTTTCGTGTTGTGTGTTCTCGACATGCAAGCAAAATGAAGTTTCGTTCCTGTTTCCCTTTGGAACTGGTTAGCTCAAATGACCACCACAAACCGCATAATATCGAGCCAAGCTTTAATAATTATTCGATCTAAAGAAATACATCTATAATTCGCAGTCAGAACAAACACAAATCGAGTCTTGATCTTGTAGCTAAATTCAGAAAACTTCAATGTAAACTTAGTTCTGTGGCGGGTCGTTATAACCGTCGCACTTTACAGGTTAGCAGATTCTTTAAACATTCTTCAGGTAAGCGGATTTATAAACACTATAAACTTCTTTCTCACTTCGATTACTGAAAAAACTGGTTTGAAATACAATGACCTAATGCTTTTAAATCAATGTATAGAATCAATGTCAATCAACGTTCTAAAACATAATCCCTTTAAACGTTAACTAAATCATGCTTGTAGTCACGCAATCATTACGGTTTTTTGACGAAACATCCTCCGCCCCGATAGGGGTAGCCTCCCATGCAGGCGTTTTTAGGGGAGCTCGTTTTTCATTCATTTTCATTTCATCCCTCCTTGTGGGGAGGGATGAAAAACGAGCTCCCCTAAAAATGCCTGCGTGGGAGGCTACGATAAGGGCGTAGTCCTTATCTTTAACATTGTCCTTTCAGTTTTCACCTTCCCAAGGGTGAATGACGGCGACTTTAGTCATTGGTCGGCTATACTCTCCTGCTGACGTCTTAACCTTCAGATTTCGTATTCGACCATCACGTCCCGGAAAGACTTCTGTTATTCTGCCGATGGACCACTTGCCTCGGACGGTAATGCTGTCGGCCACCAGAACAACATCATTTACTTGCAAGTTTCGACTTCCGACTTGCCATTGTTTCCTGTGTACCAGGGACGGGAAAACTTCTCTGCTCCAACACTTCCAGAACGAGTCGACAATTTTGTGAACAAATTCAACTCTGTGGCAGGGATTTCGTGATTCCTTGAATGGCCCTTGCACAACTTCGGGTGATGCTCGCCCGAGAAGCATGTGGTTAGGGGATATGTAGCCACCGTCATCCGGATCATTTGGTACTCTGCCGATCAGCCGTTGGTTAACGAGATTCGCCACCTCCAAAAATACAGTGTACAACTCGAATGGAGTCAGAAGCTGGCTTCCAATGGCCTTCCTTAGGGCATTCTTGCATGTTTTAACCAGCACTTCTGCACAGCCATTTTGATGGGGGCAGCGAGTGTCGTAAACTCCCAGTGCATGCCTTTCTCGGCACAAAACTCCTGAATCGGCAGTTGATTCAATCCACTCACCATTTGACGGAGCTTTTTCTCAGCGCTGACGAATTGTGTACCATTATCTGTCATCATCAGCGACGGTTGACCTCGTATGGCACAGAATCTGCGAAGAACTTGCAGGAACTCCATCGTTGAACAGTCAACTGCCATTTCCAAACGTACTGCCCTTGTATTCAAACAAGTGAAAAGGACGCCGTAATGCTTGGCTGTCTTATTTCTTCCGATCTTAACGGTGTACGGTCCCAAGTAATCGTACGCTGTGTGGTAAAATGGTGGGTACATGGCGCTAACTGAGTTGCAGTCTTGTGAGCCATTTCCTTACAGAACCCACACTTAAACTTAACTGACTTGCTCAACTTCGTCGCCTTGAGGATCCAGTACTTTGTCCTAATCTTTGCTGTTGTTGCAGCGACTCCACTGTGTCCGTGTTGATGATGGTTGTCTCGTTATCAACGTTGAGATCCAATGATCACTCGGAAGAAGTGCAGGGTGCCTAGTATCGTAAGATATGCTTGCTTGGTGAAATCGCCC